TTTTTTTTGAGCACCTTCTATTAGCTAGGCACTTCCACCTTACAGAAAGCTGTTTTCTTTTTTAAAATAAATCAAATTTATCAGAGCATAATTTGCTTACAACAAATTCACCCATTTTAAGTGTACTGTTTGATGAGTTTTGACAAATGTATATACCCATGTAACCCCCACCACACTCAAGATATAGATGATTTTCATAACCACAAGAAATTCCTTCATGCCCCTTTGCAATGAGTGTCTCTCAGCCTCTGGCTCCAGGCAATCATGAATTTAATTTCTGTCACTATAGATTAATTTTCATTTTCTAAAATTTCATATTCATGAAATCATACAGTGTAAATTCTTTTGAGTCTGGCTTCATTCACTCAGCTTACTGTTTATGAGATCCATGCACATTGTTGCATGTAGCAGTAATTTATTTCTTTTTACTGCTGTGTAGTAATACATTGAATGGATTTACTACTCTGTTTATCCATCATTCTGTTGATAGATAATTGGGTTGTTTTCAGTTTCGGGACTAGGATGAATAAAACTGCTGTTAATATCTCTGTATAGGTCTTTATGGAATTACATATTTTCATTTCTTTTGGTAAATTCCTAGGAGTGGGATTTCTGGGTTATATGTTAAGTGAATGTGGTACTTTATCAAAGATGCCAAAATGTTTTCCAAAGTGTTTGTATCATTTTACATTTCCACCAACAACGTCTGAGAGTTTCTATTGCTCCACATTCTTGCCAACACTTCGTATTGTCAAGTCTTTTTAATTGTAGCCATTCTAGTGGGTATGTAATTATATTTTATTGTAGTAATAAACTTGTATTTCTTTGAAGACCAGAGATATGAAGCAACTTTTCGTGGGTTTATTGGCCATTCGTGTATCTTCTTTTCTAAAGTGTCTGTTCAACTCTTTTGTCTATTTACAATTGAGTTGTTTATATTATTAAATTACAAATGCTCCTTATATACTCTGGATACCAGTGTTNAACTTGTATTTCTTTGAAGACCAGAGATATGAAGCAACTTTTCGTGGGTTTATTGGCCATTTGTGTATCTTCTTTTCTAAAGTGTCTGTTCAACTCTTTTGTCTATTTAAAATTGAGTTGTTTATATTATTAAATTACAAATGCTCCTTATATACTCTGGATACCAGTGTTTTGTCAGGTATACAATTTGCAAAAATTTTCTCTAAGTCTATGGCTTGCATTTCCATTTTCTCAAAGGTGTCTTCTGAGGAACAGAAATTTGTAGTTTTGATAAAATCAAGTTTATCAATTTTCTTCTATGGGATTTTCTTTTTTATGTGTCTTAAGATATCCTTTCCAACCCCAAGGTTTTGAGGATGTTTCTCTTATGAATTCTTTAAGAAAGCAGCTTTGGTTTTTGCATTTAAGTCTATGATCCATTTCAAGTTGCTTTTTGTGTTTGGCATGAGGTGAAGGTTAAGATCCATTTTTGTTTCCAAATGGATCTACAGTTGTTACAGCACCACTTATTGATAACACTGTTTTCTCCCTTTTATTTCTTTGGCATCTTTTTCAAAATGATGACACATGGGTGACTCTATTTGTGGACTCTCTATTTTGATCCATTGATCTATATGTCTATCCTTATGCCACTTCACCACTGTCTTGATTACTGCACTGTTATATTAAGTTTTGATATAAGGTAGTTTCAGGTCTCCAACTTTGTTCTTTTTCAGTTGTTTTGCTTATTTTATGTTTACATTTCCATACACATTTTAGATCAGTTTATCTATTTCTACGAAATGCCTGCTGAGATCTTTTTTTTTTTTGTCCTTTTTGAGACCGGACGCACTGTGCTCAGCCAGTGAGTGCACCGGTCATCCCTATATAGGATCCGAACCCATGGTGGAGCGCTGCTGCGCTCCCAGCGCTGCACTCTCCCGAGTGCACCACGGGCTCGGCCCATCCTGCTGAGATCTTAATTGAGATTGCACTAAACCTATAAGTCAAATCTGGGAGAATCTACATGTTAATTTTATTGGGTTTTCCAACCCATGACATGGTATATCTCTGCTTATTTAGTTCTTTGCCTTCTCTCTGCAACATTATGTAGTTTCCAATGTGTAAGTCTAGCACCTATTTTGTTGAATTTATTCCAAAGCATTTTGTATATTTTGATATTATTTTTAGTGGTATTTTTAAAAATTTAATTTTCCAATTTGTTCTATATAGAAATGCAATTTCTGATTTTTGTAAATAGAACTTACATCCTGTTACCTTGGTAATTTACTTATTATTTCTAGTGGTTTTCTTATAAACTCCTTAGGATTTTCTATTAATACAATGGTGTCGTTACACATAAAGACAGTTTTTTTTTTTTTTTTTTTTTGTCTTTTTTTCTTTTTTCCGTGTCCGGCAACGGATCGCAACCCTCAGTGTTGTCCCCGCACCGGACCGGGACCGGCAACGGGATCGCAAACCTCGGTGTTGCTCCCGCACCTCGCTCAGCCAGTGAGCGGGAACTGGTCTGTATGTGGGATCCGAACCCTCGGGCGGGAGCGCCGCCGTGCTTCCCAAGCGGCGCACTATCCAGTGCGCCACCGGGCCAGCCCTAAAGACAGTTTTAATTCTTCCTTTCCAATCTATATCCCTTTGATTTCCTTTAATTTTATTTTTTTCTATTTCAGTTTCCTCGTTTTATTCCTCATCTTGCAGGGAAAGCATTCAGTCTTCCACCATTAAGTATGATATTAGTTGCAGGATTTTTATATCGGGTTGAGAAAATTCCCTCCTATTTTTAGTTTGTTGGGAATTTTATCATAAATGGGCACTGATTCTTGTCAAATGCTTTTTCTGCATCTATTGAGTTGATATAGTTTTTATTCTCTATTCTGTTGGTATAGTGAGTTATGTTAGTTGATTTTTGAATGTTAAATTAATCTTGCATTCCTAGAAGAAATTTCACTTAGTCATGGGTATTGTCCTTTTTATATATTGATAGATTCAATTTGCTAAAATTTTGTTAAAGCTTTTTATGTCTATACTTATAAAAGACACTGGTTTGTAGTTTTCGGTGGCTGTTCCTTCTGCCTGGACCACTTTTCCCCACTTTTTGCACAGGAACAGATGACAACACCATCTCAGAGAGGGCTTTGCTGACCTTCCCTGTCAGAACACCTTCTACCTGTTGATTTACATTTTGCTTATTATGGTTCATCTCTCTACACTGTTCCATGTCTGATTGTTTACCTCTATCTCCAGCACCTAGGACACTTAATAAACCCTCAAATATATGTTAAGCAAATACATGACTGATTGAGGAATGAAATTTGGGTAAGCTCTCTGAGAACCTTGCAGAGTTGAGGCAAAGATTAGAAATCATATTCATTCCCCAGGCACTGCGCCTGGAACGTAGGAGCTCAGAAAGTGGGATGTTACAGGATGCCGAATTCAAGCTTCAGCTGAGATACCAGAATACAGTAGACACCAAAGTGAGTTTTGAGATAGACCTGTGGGTATTTCACTGGCTAGACACATGTATTCTGAGATTCTAACAGTGTCAAGCAGGGAAAATTTAGACATTATCTGTGATGAATTCTTTAAAGATGGCTGTACTTTCTATCACCTGCTGTGGTTTTACTAGTAGGTTAAATAGGTTGTGGCCAATATGATCCAATTATAATCTCCTCTTCCTTAGATATCTCTCTTTTCTCTTCTAGGTGCTGCCTACAAATTCTACCATTCCATCTTTTAGTTTTAGCTTGTGGCTGCTAACCTGTCAAAGTGCAGGTTCCTGGGGGAAGAGTAACTCTTTACACTAAAACAAATCATTTACACCCTCTGTGTGATGTGCATCAAATCAGCATGACCCAGTGAGAATGAGTCTGTGTCATCCTTTCTTGAGTGCCTGGGAACAGGGCAGGGTGGGGCAATGGAGGAGGTCAAGGTGGCCTTCATTTTGCCAGGGACCAGCTTTGTTAGCACCCAAACAGATCCTGCCTCATTTGGACAATTTTGTCCTCATGACTGGGGCTGTTTTCTATCAGTTAGGTGCCCCCGTTGTAGCTGCCTCATGCCCCTGGCCTCAGCTCACTTACCTCTTTGTTTATGTATCCATCTTTATTGATGTCATACAAATTAAATGTCCACCTTAGTTTCTCATGGACGGTTCCTCTCAGTAAAATCGACAGAGCAGTTACAAAGTCCTGAGAAGTGGAAAAGACAGGAGTGACATTAACTACTAAACTGTCGGGCCAGGTGAAGCTGTGTCTTTGGGTCAGACTCTATGATGCTCTTACTGAATGTTGCCTTCCACATCCTCTGTCTGCCTGGAGGATATGGCCAAGCTCAGTGAAGAGCTCTCACCTCCCATTCTCTAGCCTGCCCCATTTTTTGGAAGCCACCCCCTTGAAGAAGAACAGAGCTCTGCATGTGCTGACACCCCCAGACACAGGTAAACACAATCTCCTCTGTTACTGCCTTATCCCGTGGCTGCAATGGACTATGGAGACATACTGCCTGTGGTCACATCCCTCCTTTACCCACTACCTGTTTGACTTTGGGAAAGCTCATCAATCTCTCTTTGCCTTACTTTCCTCTTCTGTAAAATGCTGATAAATAACAGAACCCTATCTTGTAGGGTTAATGTGAGGATTAAATGAGTTAATACATGCAAAGCACTAAGTACAGAGGCTGCCACACGGTAAACAGTGTGTGTGTGAGCTCTTATACTGTTATTATTAGTCCCCTGAGTCCCCAAGGTCCTGGAGGGCAGAGGAAGTTGCTTCTTCTATCTTCAGGATATGTTTGTTAAGTGGATAAATGTTTACTCATCTTGACTGAGAGCATTTGATGATCCAACCCTTTCTCCAATACCCTGTAGTTTAGAGGAAGAGTAATGTGGAGCCCGGGGACTCCCCGAGTGAGCCCAAGAGACAAGCATACCTCAAACTTTACGGAGCCTGTCTGGGTGGTGTCGAAGGCATTGAAGAGGTAATGGGCGTACGTGCTGGCATCTGCAAGGTAGAGAGGGAAAGGTGGGTGATGGGTACTGCACAGAGGGGAGAGAGATCACTTAAAAACAGAGGCAGGTTTCATCAAGAAAGAGAGAACGATGCTGGGGCGGCAGAAAGGAGAAAATTAAGGACTGCAGCCCGCTTACTCACCTCCTGGGTTTAGGTGGGTAGCCAGTTCTAGCAAAAGGCAAGACCGACCCTTGCCCCTCCATCTAGCCGACTCTCCTACCTGTCTATGCATAATACCTGCTGGATGAACGGCTTGGGGACTGTGTGAAGATGGTCTTCTGAGCAGCAGCACAGTGCCATGGGATGAGCACGCACTTGGGAGCAGACAGACCCAAGCTTGGATTGCAGCTCTGTCACCACATCGCTGTGTGACCATAGGCATCTAAGGCAACCTCTCTGACCTTCCCTTTTCCATCTCTGTACAACAGGATATAGCAAGACCTATCTCTTGAACTGTTTGAAAAAGTGTGTTAAACTAGAGCCGTGCCTGGCACATAGTGAAAACTCAGTAAAGAGTGGGTGAATGGAACTCAGTAAGCCATGATTCATGGGACGAAGCTTTTCCCCAACTTGGGTGGGGGCCCCTCACTGGATCCCACACCTAAAAAGACTAAAAAGTCTGCTGCCAAAGAAGCCCATGAGAAACAGGGCCCAAGAAGTATAGAGGATGCTTGGATCTCTGTTTTGTCAGGACCCAGGGAAGGGGTCCTGCAGGAGATGGGTCCTGCAGGAGATGGGTCCTGCAGAAGATGGGTCCTGCAGGAGTCAGCTCCTGGGGACAGGATGCAAGGTGGCATGTGACCAAGGAGGCCACTGGAGGAGCCACTGATGTGATCCCAGGCCCATGGGGCCAGAGCTGGCTCCTGCAGAAGTCAGGCAGTTGTGATGGACCTGGCACACTCGCTAACCTGGCTTTATAAGTACAACTTTGTGTTCCCTGCGTCTTTCTGGATTAATTTAATAGCCCCTGGTATTTCCTAAGG